CTTCTTTGAACTTCTTGTCTTTGAGTTTTGTTTTATTTATATTTTCTTTTTTAGGTGTTTCGGAGAGAGCTGTTACTGGTATTTGGTTTGTTGTTTCTCTATCGAACTGATTTTTTCCCTCTATGTGCATACTGTTTTTAGTTAGCTCAGCTGATTCATAAGGTCTTGAGTCTTCAGCTTAATTCTCTTCTTCTTGTTGCCGTTTTCTTGTAACTATCTCCTGAGGCCTTTCTACTTTGCTTTTCTTTTCTATACTCTCCATCTTGTTTGTTTCTTCTTGTATTTGCTCATTATTCATATTTGTTATGTAGTTTACTGTTTCTGGGTTTTCATAAGTCATTCTGGCTTTAGCTGCCTATTCTTTGATTAGGGTGTCGTTTGGAATTCTACCCTCTTTTTGTCTTAATAAACTTAGTATTTGTCCATAAATTAATAGGTCCATTGCTGTGATCTTATCAGGATCTACTATTGCTAGACTTTTGGCTACATGCTCACTATCATCTGGAATATGAGGCATTGTTGCTCTTAGTTCTTCTGTTAATATCTCACTGTTCATAAACCTTAAATTTCTAGCACCTAGTCCACTGATGTAATATAACATCCCTTGATTGTGTAACTCTTCCATCTTATCTAATATAACTAATATAATTAGTTCTTGTTTATCTAATACTTATTCTAAGCCTGTTTCCTTATCTGATTTAACACGTAATCTTATGTTTGTTGTTGTTGTTGTGTAGCTATCACCTCTTTTAAAATGAGATGTGTTTGTTTATTTGTTTGTTGTTGTTTACTAGTCACGTGTTGTGTACTTTGCTTTCAGGATCAAGTCAATTTTCCACAATTTGTACAAAATTTTGTTGAAAATTTTTAAAGATCTGCAAAAAGAACTGAACGTTCAAGTTAATAAAGATTTGGTTCTATTTAAGTATATGTCTTTTGGAATGCTGAGTTCTTGTTCTTAAGAGTGTTAATATTGTTTCTTAGTCTTGATTTTGAGATTTGTTTGTATTTTGTTTAGTGCCGATTTTGGTACTGCAGATCAGTGAGAAGAGTTTTGAATCTCTATGTACAATACTAGTTATTAATATTCTTTTATATAGATATAATATTATGTTTTACATAAATGTCTCGAGCTTCTATTTGAGATAGTACAACTAAAGATTACAAATACACTAATCTAATTGATTAATAGAAACAGTTATTATAACACAGATATAAATTTTAAAACTTATCATTCATGGAATCTAAACTCTAGATCTGCCACTTGAAATTAACAAACTATTTACTTTACTAGATCACTACACCTTAAATAAAAATTTAAATTAATGTTTAATAATAATATATTAATCTAACTTAAAATTTTGTAATTATCATAGTTGTATTTTATTTTATTTTATTTTTTTTTATAAAATAAGGTTTTACTTTTATCTTTATTATAATTTGTATTAAGAATCTACAAAGGGTTTTTTTGATTAAAAGTCAAGTTTACAAATTGTTTATAAGAATAAGACTCAAACTATAGATATACTAAGACTATCTAGTTTAATCTAATTTATCTGCAACTTAAACTTACTAGAGTGATTAAATTTCATCTAGATTTTTTTTTTTTGATATTAAGATAAGGCCTTACTTATATCTTTATTAATAATTTAAAATAGTTATATGTATATATATTATAACTGAAGTTAATACTTGCATTTAAGGCTAACTGTTAAACTGCTAACTATACAGCTACTACTATTTGTACAAAACAAATAAATTGAAAATTACATGTAAGAATAAAAGCTCAAACTAATTTATCTGTAACCTAAATCTACTAGAGTAGTCAAAGCTTACCTAGATTTGAATGTTTAGTATATAATTTGATAATATGCTATATTTAATCTATAGAATAGACCAAATATTAATTTCCAGAGCAGAATGAAAGAACTTAAGTCCAGACAATAGGCAAGAAAAAAAATTCCAGTTGGGTTCTAGGTGTAGGATAAGAAAAATTTTCAAATTACTACTATCTTCCAATTGATCAGAATTATATCAGTATTGTAGTTATTGTCTATTAGCAATATGTTATATACTATTCTTTTATCAGTATTGTAGTTGTTGTCTATTAGTAATATAGTATATACTATTCTTTAAATTTAATTTTGGGTTCTGGGAGTATTATAGGAAACTTATATCACTTAGTATATACATATTGTCAAAGTTAATTTTGACTTAAAAGTTTATGACTTATTATTCTTTAAATTTGACTTTAATTTAAATTTGACTTTAAATTTTCTTATCCCTTAAACTGTCAATTTAACTATGTATATACTATGAGTTAGACTACAATTTAATATAATTTGATAGCTTAATCACAGATCAATTATGAAATTTCCAGGCAAATTTGCCTGAAAAACAGTTTAAGAGATAATAAATTTAATCACAATTATATAATAAAAAAATAAACTTATGATAATAGAAATAAAAACTATAAAAGTAATAATAAATCAATATAAAAAAGTTTTTTTCTCTACTAATTGCAATTTTCTTTAATTCATTAAAATAAACGTTAAAGATGGCAATGTTTGCAATGTTAGCGATCAAAAAAGAACAAACATAGAAGTTATTGAAAATAATAATATACTTGCATGTGACCATAATAGAAAACAGAAGAAAAGATGTACAGAGACAGCTAAGGAGCAAAAAATATGCCTTGAATATAGACGTAACCAACAGAAAAAAATAGAGATGCAGAAACTATTGAAGAAAAGAAAGCAAAAAATGAACATAGGTGCAACCAATGAAAGAGAAAAGTGGATTCAAAAACTAATGAAGAATGAGAAGAACATCTTGCACATAACCATAATTGAAAACATAAGGGAAAGGGTGTTGAATCAATCAGAGAATAAAAAACACTTATTGAGCACAATAATGAACAACTATTGAAGAAAGATAATGATAGAGAATCTACAAGTAAAGAAAAAAAAAATGTAAGACCTTGTAAATCTCAACTTTCAGAATCTAATAAAAAACTTTTAAATACTTTTTGCAACAAAATGACAATAATCAAAAATGAGCTATGTCTGACATGTCATGAACAGTTTCCATTTATTATCCTTTATCAAGGTGAATGCTATTGTTGTTATATAGAAAAGAATGCACCAAAGAAATTTTCAGCTAAAAACAACATGAATTTAGGTATAAACTATTAAATTTATTAATAAATAACAAATCAGTAAAAACTATCTTATAAAAATTTTAATTTAGAAGATGTATCTCAAGAACTTCAAGGTCTTACTAATATTGAAGAGATGTTGATTGCACAGGTTTTCTCTATTGTATCAGTTTATAATCTTCATAGAGGACAGTACGCATATCGAGGAAACATCATTAATTTCCCTCAAGATTTACAAGGTTTTGTAACTTGCCTTTCACATCATCTATCATCATTAAGCATGCTTATTATACAATAGCCATCTTTTAATAGATCAACTTTTCAAGATTTCCAAGTTCGACAAGAAAAAGTATATCACATACTGTGTTGGCTAAAAGCTAATAATCTTTTTTACTATGATATTGATATTGCTGAGAATATATTTTGATCATTACCTAAAAATGGCTCAATAATCGAACAACTTCAACAGATTTCAGATAATTATTCAAATACTGAAAAAGAATTATATGAAAATAGTAATGTCTATGAAAAAAATACTATTTTACGTATCTTTATTCCTATTCCACCTTCCAAATGTTGTAAAGACAGTGAAATTTATAAGATTTTAAACAATTTACAAAATAACTATTAGTCTCAATAATCAAGTGGCCTAATATTGAACATACCCCAATTGATGAATTTAACACTTCAGAATATATAGTGCATGCATTTTCCACACTTTATCCCTAATGCATTGTTGATTTACATGCACCTCAAATAAAAAAGATGCAACCAACTGAATATTTTCAGCATCTTTTAAAATATAAAAATAGCTGCTTTGCTCAATATCTATATTGGCATTATTTTGCTTTAAATTCTCTAATGTGATAGCAGGCATTGCAATCTAAATGTGTATTTGTTCAGCAGAACTTAGAAGAGGGTCAACTTACAGTTATGAAATCCAAGAGTTATTACAATCTAACAATAATTTGGCAAATTGTATAATATAGTATAGAGAAATATTACGTAGTACTCGTCAATATTGGGCATGACATAGCTGTGAATTATCAGATATGATATGTCAATTAGAGTCCAAAAGAATGATATTTTTTACTTTCAGTTTTGCTGATTTATACTAGCCTGAATTACATAATATCATGCCATATGAAAAAGATCCAATAGAGGACAAAACTAATGAGAAGACTACTAAACATCGATATCAGGATCTAATTAATAATCTACATATAGTTGCATAGTTCTTTAATAAAAGATTTAATGTTTTGTTCAAAAAGTCTTAATTCCAAAATGGAACTTATAGATTAGTGGTTCTGCTTTGAGTAGCAGCATCATGGTAGTGCACATATTCATAGAATTGGAGTTAGAGCAGATGCTCCAATATTTGAATAGAATAAAATAAAGGATGATAAAAAATTAATACAAGATGTTTTGCATTATATAGATTCTTCAATAACTATCATTAATTCAGATATAGATGCACCAATACCAAATAGTCACCTATGTCAAAAGCATATGGAACATTGCAATAATGATTTACAAGAATATGTTGAATTAGTCAACAAACTTCAACAGCATACACAATGCAGCACATTACATTGTTTAAAAATGAATAAGCAAACAAGTTAGCAAGTTTGTAGATTTGGGTTTCTCAAAGAATTAAGAGAAGAAACTATTATACAAAAAAATGGTCATGGTCAACTAGAATTATTGACAACCAGAAACAACTCTTATATAAATTCACATAACCATCTTCAGCTTCAGGAATGGAGAGCAAATATGGAACTAAAGCCTATATTTACTATCTATGCTGCACTAAAATATGTATCCAAGTACGCAAATAAAAGAGAACCTTGGTCAGCATAATTTTCTGATATATTAGACAAAGTTCTTTGTCATAGCAAACCTAATGACCCATCTGTCAAGTCTTTTCAAAAACTGCTTCTTCATACAATATCTGAGTATGACTTTTTAGCTCAAGAAACCTGCCATCTTCTACTTGGAATTTCTCTATACCATTGTAGTCAGAATTTTGTAACTTTAAATCTTAATAAAGATGCCCTAAGATGTGTTTATTACAGTAGTAAAAATAATGACTACAGTAATAATAACAGTGGTGAAAATAATAACTGTGATAATAATAACATTAGTAAAAATAATAACTGCAGTAATAATGACAGTAGTAAAAATAATGATTGTAATAATAATAGTCATGATACTGTAACTGTAGTAAAAACTGGACTTTTATCCTTACAATTATATTGGACTTGACCTACTGAGCTTCAAAATCTTTTACTCTTTCAACTATATCTAAAATACAAATATATAAGAAGAAAATGGAAATATTGCTCAAAAGACAATATTGTATGTATCTGGCCATGTCCTTCTCCATTGTAGAATGGGCTTTGCTAGAAAGAATTTTGTCAAATGAAAGTCCTTCTACATGTCTGTCATATAAGCATTATGCAACTCACAGAAAATAAAACTCTTACATGACCAGAACTTTATGATCACCATTTACAAGAAATTGAAGCTAATCCTTCAAATATACATGGATCAGCAGTAGATTTTTTTGAAAAAAATGATGCTAATAATAGTGAATACCAACTTGATGAAGAAAATAAAGAAGATATGCAACTTGACTAGATGATTTTGTCAAAAACAGGTCCAGACACTCAAATCTGCAATTCTTCTGATCTCAGTTTATAAAGTACTGACCTGAACTATAATTGGGCTAAGGAAGGTAGAGATCAATATCCCACTCTTACAGATGCAAGTACTTTTATTTAGCAGGCATATAATGAAAATGCTGCTGACAATGAAATTGATAACTATGACTTCAATTATAAATCTTTAAATGAGAATCAAAAAAAATTCTTGAAAGAATAGAATGTAATTATATTGCAAAAATTTTAGAAAAAAGTGTAGTTCCATTATGAGTTATTATTATGAGCATAGCTGGAACTAGAAAGTCTTATCTTATTAAGGCTATTCGTTGTAAATTTAATAAAATTAGAAAAAACAATAATCTTTCTCAACCAATTCTTGTGCTTGCACCTACTGGAGTTGCTGCTTTTAATATCCACAGCAGCACTATTCATTCTGCACTATCAATTCCAGTTAATAAAAAAAATTTTGATATAACAGATGAACACTTAAAGCAATTGCAAACCAAGTTACAGTGGGTAAATTATAGTATCATTGATGAAATGAGTATAGTAGGATGACATACTCTTGCTTTAATAGATTTGAGATTGCATCAAGCATTTCCTGATTGTTAAAATATTTCATTTGAAGGTTCTTCTATTATTTTTGTTAGAGACTTTGAGCAGTTTTCACCAGTCTGTGATCTTTCTATATATGTACAAGATTCCTGTCCCTCTGATAGCTTATCTGAAAATAGATATACAGTCTATACCCAATTTTATGAAGTTTATAAACTTGATATGTACAATGCCAAGCTGAAAATTCAGAAGAATAGCATCAATTTAGATCTCTTCTGTTGCGTCTTCATGATGATAAATCTACAATATTAGACTGGAAGATGCTAATGAAAAGAATATCAGAAAAATTAACTATACAAGAACAGAAAGCCTTTTTTAATGCCACATATGTCTTACCTAAATGAGACACTGTTAATAAAATCAATCTTGAAAAACTACATTCATTGAATCAACCTGTTGCTAAAATATGTGCTGTTCATAGTGATAATCATGAAGTACTGAAAGCTGATTCTAATATTGCAAAAGGCCTAGAAGCTGAACTATTACTTGCAAAATAAGCATATGTAATGCTAACTACAAACCTCTAGACTTCTACTGAACTTGTAAATAGTGCTATGGGAAAAATTATGAATATTCTATTTGATAAAGAATGTGGTCCAACTTCACTTCCTAATTCAGTTCTGGTTGCATTTGATATCTATTATGGTTCTACAATTACTATGCCTGAAGGAATCCAAGTCATACCAATTTCTTCTATTAGAAGAACTTGGAATGGAAAATTTGCTACATGCTCATGCTTACAAGTTCTTCTAATACTTGCATAGGCAATCACAGTTCACAAATCTCAAGGTCTAACTCTATCTAAGGCCATAGTAAATATTGAAGAAAGAAAGTTTGCAGCTGGTCTCTCTTTCGTAGCAATATCTTAGGCTTGTTCTATTAATGATCTAATCTTTGCATACTTTATTTTTGAGAAACTTCAACATATTAAAAAAAGCTTAAGACTGCAAGAATAAATACTTGAAGAGAAATGACTTATAGATATAAGCACAATTTTTAATTAATTAACACTTAATATGATCATATAAATATAATTAGTTTGTTCTCATAATCCAGCCAAATCAGTTTTAAAATATTAATGAATGTACTTCTTAAATTAAAATGTTTTATGTAGTTTTTATAGACAGGTTAAAGCTACTTTAAATTCAAACATAATGAGAACTGATTATTTAAATTCTTATGATCTAATAAGTGAGAATAATTCTTTAATTAATTATGATATATGTACATTCTTAAATTAATCATAATATATGTATATTATTAACTTAATTCATAATGCTAAATTACAAAACTTGGGTTTACAAAGTTGAAGCCTTTTTATGTTTCATTAGTCAAATAAAGATAAGTATATGATATTTATGTATTTACACTAAAAGAATTTTTTATTAATATCTTGCAAATTAGTAGATTTTATCAAAATTTTATTCACAAAATATGAAGTGGTGCTCTAAAACCCAATGGATCCCATTTTCCTAGTTTTACAAATTGCTTAGTCAATAGAAAGACATATATTAGAATAAGTATATAGTTGATCTGGAAGCCCGCAAAGGCATGAGTAAGTATAGTTTCTACAAAAATATGTATACTTAGTTGTTGAGTTAAATGATATTAAGAATTTGTTGATTGGTTTAGATTGAAGTTTATTTTGTTGTTTTTTCTAGTTAAAGAAATGAATGCAATATGTTTTCTATAGTTGTTCATATGATTGTTCATTAATATTGAGAAGGATATTAATAATAACTTAAGAGATAGTTTTATATGATATATTAGAGTTTGAACTATTGATATAAGTAACTTTGGAATAAGTTCTTTAAGACTAGATTAGGATAAAATGTGTTAAGAGTAGGGTGTAATATTGTTATAGGTGAAAGCCTTCTTAATTTTCACACTATAACGATGACACGGTACAGGGAATCCCTTACAGGTATATGCGGTGTCCAAGAGCGAAGTATAGTTCCTGTTAGACGTTGTCAAGAAACTATACCCTTCTCTGAGACAGTTCGGGAAAGGTAATGCAATACTTGTAACTTTACTTTATTTCACTAAAAGGAGATAAACCTTGCCTATAGGAATTACCCTAGAGGGGGAGTATCAATACAGTTTATAGTCAAAAGTCATTTATTAAAGTAATAACAAGAAGGGCTATCCTTAGGTTTCT